ACGACGACGGTGATGATGATGACGACGATAGATATTGTTATTTAAAATGACGATTTCAATGGTAACTTTGGATATGATCACGATGATGATAATGAAAACAATCAAATTGCTTCAAAAAAAAGACAATGTATAGTATCAATAGCATGACCTAGAGATGCACCGAATAGTGAATTTGACCGAATAGTCGAATAGTTGATTCTAAATAGACTAAATGCCAAAAAATCCACAGTTAAAAAAATTATTCTTCCGAGTGAAAAACAACCTGTTGAAAAAAACACTAAGTGATTTGTGTCTATCGACCAATTCTGTGTCGAGACAAATAGTCAATCTCTCCTTCAAATTCACACGTTTCAACAGCCATGATGGCCAAAATAACACAGCAAACAATTGGTAGTCTAGAATCTTAAAGAATTAATGCTTTAAACAAAAATTGAAATATACAGCCTTCAAAAATGACCGAATAGCCGAGGCCGAAATGTCAAACTTCGGTGCGTTTCTAAAAATGGCAACAAAAAAAAAAGGTCACACTATATAATAAAAATGATGACGGTTACCAAAAAAACCAAATAAAATAATGACGTCGCATAATAGTAACGAAAGTATGACAGCAACAACAACAATGGTGATAATCTCAAGGCTTACATAATCGCAAGTGACTCCTGACATCTGAGCTGCAAACATCACTGACAGCTTGGCGAAGAGTACCGATAACGAAGACGAAGAAGATGATGATGATGGAGTCTGACAATCTCCTTCGTTATCATCATCATCATCTCTTTCATCATCATTACCACCATTATCATCATCACCGCCTTCAAACTCATCATCATCATCGTCATCATTATTATTATTATCATCATCATCATTATTATTATTATCATTATTATTATTATTATTATTTTCAAATGAGTAGAGAAGAGCGAAGACATCATCACAAACATCTGGTAGCAGTTGAAGGGTGCATGGTAGCCAGTACTGAGAAGCATTTCTCGATTTTAAACTATAAAAACAATAATAACAAAAAATAATAACAATAACAACATTATTGTTAATGGGCGGCTGCAGGATGGTGTAATGGTTAAGGTAGCCGGCATTGCTTTTGCAGAGACCGCGTTTGATTGAATGCAAAGCTATTACTCACGAAATGTGTGCGTGTGATGCGTTGATTTACGCGTAAATAATAATAATAGTAATAAAAATAATAATAATAGTAATAATAATAATAATTATTATAGGAATAGCGAAAAAGTAATAATAACATTTTGTTGCTCGTAAGAGCGCAAACTAGGTGAGGACAGCATGAATCTTTCCACATTTTTATGCCCCCATCTTGTTGAGATCTAATGACGACGATGACGTTGTTGATGACGATTATGAAAAGATTATATAAATTTGATGATGGAGTATGCTGAAAATGACAACTCACAACAAAATGTACGATGATGCTAGTAATGATGAAGAAGATTGTGATGGTGATGACAACAACGACGACGATGATGATGATAACGATGATGATAACGATGATGATAACGATGATGATAACGATGATGATAACGATGATGATAACTGACTTCATCATCGTAATGATCGCCTTATAAACAGCAGATGATGATGGCGTCAGGTAGTTTGTTGAAAGACACTTCCTTAAATCCGTCACTAATCTACTGACTTCAATCTTTAATTAATTAATTAACTAATTAATTAATTATCTACTATTTCAATCAATTTACCAATTAATTGAATTAATTAATTAGTTATCTACTATTTCAATCAATTGATCAATTAATTGAATTAATTAATTAATTATCTACTATTTCAATCAATTGACCAATTAATTGAATTAATTAATTAATTATGTTGCTATTTATGGTAAAAATAAGCAAAAGTATACCTGAGATATCTTGAAAAAGTTGAGTAGCGGTAACATCAATTGATACCTGCTTTTAACTTGCCATGCATAACTCTGTAACAACTCCATCAAAGAATCCTTGAAGCTTTCGAAACCTTTTTCAAATAAAAATTATTATTAATATACCCCAGCGAGAATTAATAATTAAGGAAAGAAATTAACAAAAATATAATCGACATTAATTATTAAAAAATAATTAGGATTATTATAACATTTATATTTATTCTCAAGGCTGGAGACATCGCTCAAAGTTTGAAGAAGAGTTCTCAAAAGTTGGACTATATTTTCATCAACGCCATCCACCTGACTGCCGATGTACGTAAGAATTATGGGAAGAATTTTTTCTTCCGCCAGGGTTATTAACGTCCTGAAATATTATTTTATATATATTTTATTATATATAAATATTATATATATATATATATGATATTTTATTGCCATTTGAATGACGTCATTGTTGGTCTGTGACGTTACTTTGGTTTGTGAAAATACGAATTTATTACATTAATTAAATCACGGAATATTAGTGGCCAGTACCACTGAATGACAAGTTAATATTTAGAAAAAAAACTTACTCTGTTAATGATTCTTTACTAGCAACAACCTCATCTCCCCCCACACCATCATCATTTTCTTCTTCATCATTCAACATTTTATTATTATTGGTAACCAAAGAAACAAATATAAAACATTGTTGCAGCAGTTTGACTGATTGATATTGCAAATGACTTGACTGCTTGCAACACAAACATGCATGGTTTAATATTGTTGTCATCAGAGATGCCTTATTATTATTATTATTATTATCGCTATCATATTCATTGTACTGTAACAAGTACCACTTGAATGTATCTTTAAGGTATCTTAGCATATCATTTTGTATTGCAGTAGAAGTAGTAGCAGCAGCAGTAGTGGTAGCAGCAGTAGTAGTAGTAGTAGAAGTATTAGTAGTAGCCACAGTAGCATCCATAATATTCAATTCTTCATTATTAGTAATTTCACCATCATCATTGACAGTTCTACCTGTAGTATTATTCACACTGATTATATTATCTTTTAATATTTCGTCTAGCAGTGATTTATCCTTTAACAGTTGCTCTAGCACGATTCTTAGATTCGTATATAAAAGATGATGACGACGACGACGATAACGTTGATGATGATGATGTTTAGACGACGATGACGTCATTTCACGGATAATATTTTCGCAGTTTTCCGATCTCAAAATGGCCGATGATAGTATTAAGGTGCCTACGTTGAAGTTGTGCGCGACATCCCTTGTCAGGCTGTTGCTATCTGCATCATTGCCATCACCATCGTCATAATCATATCATTAATACTCTCGACATTCGTAATTATAATTATAAAAAGAATAATTATTAATTAATTAATATAAATATCATCATCATCGTCGTCATCATCATTAATACTGCCACCACCACCACCACCATCATCAATTTTATTTTCATCACTTATGAAACCTGTAAGATAGAGAAAAAGCTGGACAACGATTCTTCTCCATAAATTTGAGCCGTCATCCTCATCATCATCACCACCATCTCCATCATCATCATCATCATCTACATCATCATCATCATCACCCTCTCCACCATCATCTACATCATCATCGTCATCGTCATCATGGTCAGGAATAGAGCAAAGAACATTATTTATTATCGATCCAGCGATGAGTTGAGAGTCTTTGTTGACATCATCATCCTTCAGAATGATGGCACACAAGCAAATACAGGCTATCAGTTGGTTGTTGTCTAACTTGTTGTTTTTATTATTATTATTGTTTTTATTGATGTTGTTATTATTTTTAGTTTTATTGATGTGATTTATGTCTGCATTAACTCTTTCAACGCTATCTTCTCGTCTGATTTTTACTTGAATCAATTGCAACAATACCTTGTTTGAAAAAGTTGTGTCTTAATAATAATGATGATGAATGAATGAATGAATGAATGAACGAATGGAATGAATGAACGAACGAACGAATGAATGAATGAATGAATGAACAAATGAATGAACGACAGATAAGAGAAATAAATATATGAATAAAATACTTTGAGAAGAAAATACAGTTTCTCTTTAGAATGAACAGAACCATCAGAGATAAGTTGACATGAAAATTTGACCAAAATTGATTTAATTAAACTATTATTACTACTGGCAGCAGTAGCAGAAGTAACAACAACAGCGGCAGGAGTAATAGTAGTAGTAGTGGTAGTTGTAGCAGCAGCAGTAGTTGTAGTGGAATTTGATAAATTTTCAGATATAAATTTTGGCATTCCTTTAACTGACTCCATCATATTCGATACTAGGGAATTTTAATTTGTTTTTTAATGCATTACTTTTTTCACTCATTAATCTTTCCATTCATTTATTCATTCATTCATTCATTTATTCATCCATCCTAAATTCATTTACTCATTAATATAATTGGTCATTTCATTTATTCATTCATTCAATATTTAAACCATAAATTATTCATTCACTAATCATTTATTCTTTCATTCATTCATTCATTCATTCATTGAAAAAAATTCTAACACAATCTCAGATTATAGAAGTCATCTTTGTCCAATTTTTCATTTTTTTCATCAAAAATTTTCCCCATAGAATCCCAAACCCTGTTGAAACCATCTTTGCACGTAACATCATAATCACCACAATAACCTTTATCATTATTATTATTAATATTATTGATACTATTGTTACTAATTTTGTTGTTTTGTGATCGAGATATCAGACCAACAATCTTGAAAAAAATAAAATCAAATGAATATAAATTATTGAATGAATCATAAATAATTAACAATATTATGGTAATTATGAAATAATTAAATATTAAATATATATAAATAAATAAAAAATAATATAAATATATATTACTAATTAATTGATTAATTAATTAACCTGGATAATTTTTTGAGATATCTGGATGTTGCTAGATGTCAGTAGCACACATTGGCAGAAGAGATCGAATAGGTACTTCAAACAGATATCGTCTGCATTTCTCAATTCTTTCTTCAGTGACACCAATAGCTCAGAACATTTTTTGAAAACCGCATCTGAGGTGCTAAGATATGAAATTTTTTGAAATATTTAATTATTAACTAAATAAAATTATTAATTTATTCAATGAATCATTTATCCATTCATTTTAAATTTCTGCCAAATTAATTTATTCATTATCCATAAGTTTCAATTTTTTACGAGGTAGACCTTCTTGCTTGCTACAACTACTGTCTGTACTGTACTGCACTGTACTACTAAGATAAGTATTGAAAAAAGATTGCTAATTAAATAGAATTAAAATAGATATAGAATAGAATAACATTAGTAATACAGATCTGATAGAATTTACCGCCTATCCTATCCTATTAGTTATTTATTACTAATGTTATTCTATCTGATAGATTCATTGATGTATTATGTTGTGTATTTTATTCACCTTTTACAGAAATTCACGAATGCACGCGCGCACGCACGCACACAATACACGTACAATACAAAATTACACTCCACACAAACTTTGTGTCACAAAGGAATGGCTACCATCCTGTGGCCAACTAATACTCATACTGACTAGTAATCTATCTAATCTAATAGCTAATGCTAATCTATGTACCACTAATGAACTACTGACTCATACAAAAATTGAATGAAACATAAAACTAGAAATGAACCGGCTGTCGGTGGGGTTGAACCCTCGTGCGATGGACGAGTGGAGTGAGGAGGATTGGACGCAATGAACCTTCCCACAAGCAAACACATGCTGGTTGGAATCCATAATTTTAAACACATGAGTTTGTTTATTTTTTAAAAGCTAGTTAGCTTTAAAAGAGCTAGCTTTAAGCCACTAAAAGTTTTGTTTCTGAAATTCGGATAAAGTTTTTTTTACATAAAAATTAATTGTTTTATTTTTTACAATTAAAATTAAAAACAAAAAAATAAAGTTGTATGTAAAAAATAAAATATAGTGTTTTAAAACTCCTTACACTTTTAAACATTTCTAGCTCGTCTTCACGCACGTTCGAGTTTGTTTACGTCTCTCGCGTGCAACCTTGCGTTACAGTTGAAATAATTTTCCTTTTTGTCGCTTCATTTTGTAACCTCCTAATTCAAAATATGTTTGAAGAACCGAACTGGGATACCGATGAAGCTATCGGTAAAATGGTTGACACAATTTTCTCAAAAATGGTCCTTAGTAAAAAAGTTAGTTCTTGATTAGGATTAGAGAGCTTTTAGAATAAGTTTTAGTTTTAGCCAGCTTTTTTAAAATTTACTTTGAAATTTTCATCAGTCATCACTGACACCATCAGCATCACATTACAGTTTTGTTTTGGCAGTCTGATTGCCTCACATGAACATACTACTTAAGTTATACAAATTTTTTTTGGCCTGGATTGGTGTTTTATGCTTTTGGACATGCATCTCTTATATATATATAAAATAAATAATTATAATATAATTAATATCAAGAAAGGAAGCATCTTTAATTTCGCATAATGATTCATGATTTTTTTTAATTTTCTTTAAAATGTTAATTAAGTTGTTTATTTAACTAATTTTTTCCATAAAGCCAAATTAATTTTAACTACTATTTAACTATTGAAACTGCTAGCTAGGTGTAGACTTAAATTAAACAGTGCAATGACTGCTTTTATTTTTAGTTATAACATATATATGCCATTTACTAATGTTACGTTGGACCATTTTTTTATTTTGTCTTTTATTTAGAATGCAGATTTAAAAACATCTCATAATACGATATTAGATGTACTTTTATTAAGCTGAAAATTTTTTTTAAATTTAATGTAAAAAAATCAACATTATAGATAGACATATCACAAGACAAGAACATATTTGCAAAGGTCCATTCAAGAAGTCACCACTTCCAACAGCTACCATCCGCGCAATCACTATGGGAATGAAGACTGAACTCCTCGGTGGACGCGACATTAGAAGTCTCACATTTTGACTCTAAAGTTGACTTAACAAGACGCTCAATCTTCTCCCAGGCCTCTGCAGTGAAGTGCTCTTCAACACTGGCAACATTTGTGTAATCATCTATGCTATCGTTGGATGGAGTGATGGTGAGGTCGTTAACAGTTATCTGGTAGCCTGAATTCATGCACCTCTTCGCTATGTCCTCTGACGTCATCAGCCTCATTAACTTCAACTCATCTTGTACAGAGGGACACATGTTCTGCAGGGGAATCTCATTTTCATCATCCGATGTATGCTTCATTCTGCGAGTTTGTCTTGCAGGATTGGAGGATGTCGTTATGGATTGATCAGAGGTTTCCATAATTTCCTTTGTGTTAGTTGATTGATCAGGAGATGCCATTCTTTGCTTGCGAGAAATGTTCTTCCAGGATCTATCTGCAGCCTCTCTCTCAATAGCTCGAAGCCATGTTAAGGCTCTTGAGAACTTCTCTGGTGGCAGTTCAGACAGGGCAGAAGCGATCCCAGCACAAGTGACCATGGCCACTTTCAATCTCTTCTGCTGTGTGTCCCACTGGTGTTTTATACTGAAATATAAAATTTTAAATTTAGTTATTTCATTACAAAAACTAAATAAAATCTATCATACTGACCGTATTCTCTGCTTCATGTTGTACACATCCTTCCCAGTGACAGGACAATTGGACTGATGCAGGTAGCTGACCACATGTTTAGGCCTCACCCCTTCCTTCAACATTTCCTTGGCTTTGTGCAGCACCTCATCCTTGGGCTGGCGATTGGCCGGGTAGCTGGCGTACATCTTCTCATCGACTGGATGGTTGTGCTCCAGAGATAAAGTCTTCACCACGTATTGCTGAATCAATTTATTTTATTCCCATCATTAAGTTATAATATTAGTAAATCATTCATTAAATGGAGTATTTTTGCACACTAAACTACCTTTCTAATCTTGCAATAGGCGACGTATATTCTTGCAGAACATTTGCAACGGTAACTCTTCTTTTTCCGAATTCTAATCTTCTCTTCTGGGGATTTTCTAGCATCTCCATAGTGCTTGCAGATCCACCTTTGAAAAAGGTTACGAAGCTAGTTATTTAAAACTCTTTCATTTTAATCACTAAGAAATTATTTATATGAAACATTAAAAGATTGATAATTAAAGCAACTTTTTGTCTCCATGCACTATTACAATTCACCCTTCAACATATTTACTTCTTTAATTAAGAAATGTTGAAGCCTACATTATTTTTTAATCTGACTAAATACTAAATTAAATTAAGTCCAAAACAACCTCTGGCCATACTGATCTTCAGGCTTCAGGTCAACAATTTTGGCTTTCTCACACCTGCATTTGTTGTTAAAATTTCTCACACTCTCCTTTGAGTCTCTTTTCATTGGCTGGAAGTTAGCTGCTAAATAGTTCTCAATGGTGTCAATGGCCATCTCAATATCTGGAAAGCACTGATCCTGTCTAATTTCGTTTGGCATTTTGGTTTAGGTTTCCTTCATCAACTATTTGTTAAACGAATTAACGAATTTTTAAAAAATAGCACTTATATTTTAGAAAGACCAAATTTTGAAAATTTTGTCAGTACTCCAGCGTAAAACAATAACACAGTACAGTACATGTACAGTACAATGATGGCCGGTATGATACCGTAAGTCGGCTTTTGAGTCAACTTCTCAATGGTTTTAAAATTAAATAAATTTTTAAAATTTTATAAAAATTGAAGCGAATTTTTTGAGTTTAACGCAGACTCAGTCAGCGCAAACAAACAGCACACCGAATGCGTTTCGGTCGTGTTGTTTATTTTAAAAGTGAACTTCACAACAGTGCGATTAAAAGTTAAATAGCAAAAGTTTTAAATATATCATATTTCGGATGCTTATTAAAATTATTTTCATATTCGATTGAATAAGCGCATACATATATAATACAGAATACATGGAGAATGTGCATGTATTATGTTTATATGAATAAGCGTAATGACGTAATTGTTGAATGCACTTGGTCTTTCTCTGCAGTTGCCTGGTTCAAGGCTGATTATAAGTCTATTTTAATAAACCAGCTTTTTTTTCATTGAATTGTTTCATTTCATGAATGTTTTCTTTATTTTCAGGTGCTAAAGAAAACATTGAAAACTCCGAATGTTCCAAGTATGAAGCCATCAAACATAAACGAAGATTCCACTGAGAATAACTTGAAGAAAACTGTAAAAAATCAAAAGAGCAAATCAAAAAATAAATACAAACACATGGTCGGCATTCAAAATGGAACCACACCTAATGATTCAAAATGCAAAATGCAATTAAATGTTGACTCAAAAATGCCTTTGGCTGATGTGAACATTGGCGGTTCACCATCTTCTCCAAAGTTGAGCATCAGGAAGGAGTTACAAGAAGCAAATCCAGATTCTAAATTACAAAATGTCAAAAAAAGAAAAATGGAAGATGTCAATCTGTTTTGTTCTAGTATGAAAAAACGAAAAACCGACGTTAGTTTAACACCTGGTTTTGATAATGAATCAAGGAGTGTTATAAAATCCGTTAAAAAGAAAAATAAATTAGTTGGACATGAAAAATCTTCAATGGGTGATGAATTCCATAAAAAGAAAAATAGACTTGTTGGATCATTGATTGACGAATGTGTTGAAAAGAAATTAAGCGATCCTAAAGAAGTAGCGATGGAAATTGATCCATCTTTCCCAAAAAATTCTACTCCCGTTCTAAAAACTGATGACATCAAAGGCACAAGTAAGAAAGATAAAAAAGTAACCACCAAATCAGATGAGCCCAAAACGAGACATGAAACATACAACTTACAAAATGTATTAAACTCACTAGACGCTCAAAAGCTTCAACAGGTTAATAAGAAAGATCAGAAGAAGGAACTCAAGAAAAACAAAAAAGACTTTAACAAACCTGAAATTGGATCAGATTCAGATGACTCATTAAGACATTCTTTTCAACGTTCATCTAACGAAAAAAAAGACCAAGAAACAGCAAACCCAAGTGTGAAAAACCCAGTGAATTTAGCGGGGAAATTCAACATACAACAGCTTCGACAAGTTCTTAAAAAAGGACAGCAAGCAAACCTCAAGAAAAACAAAAAAACTTCATTAAACGTCGACGAGCCAGAAGATGAATCGAACTCTGATGAACCATCAAATCAACCTCCCGCACGTCTATCGAACAATAAAAGAAAACAAATGATGGCAAGTTTAAGTTTGAAAGAACGAATGCTTGCTCAACTGAACTCGGCTAGATTTCGCTACTTGAATGAAAGTTTCTACACGACATCTAGTGAGGAAGCTTTGAAATTATTTCAAGAGGATGACGACGCATTCAAAATTTATCACGAAGGATTCTCTAATCAGGTTTCCAAGTGGCCTGTCAACCCAGTCGATCTTATGATTTCTTACATTGAGAATAAAAAGTATAACCTCGTCATTTGTTTGCCTTGCGTTTTGTTTTAAAATTATATTTACCATGCAGTCTTTTTCAGTTTAAAAGATAAAATTACAATTTTTTTAAAAATTGATTGACAGATTATCAAATCTAGTGATTGCAGATCTTGGCTGTGGAGACGCCAAAATAGCGAGGACTATCAAGGACAAAGTTGTCCATTCATTTGATCTCGTGGCTCTCAACAAGCATGTTACAGCCTGTGATATGAATAAGGTTGGTTCGTTGGTCGTATGGCTGATACCTCAAAATTATTTCTTAACAATTATATACGCACCTGTCTAGATGGTTAAATGCTAGTTTCATAATTATGCAAAGGCAAAATGATAAAAAGTTGCTTTAATTTCCAAACGCTGAAGGTTCCGCTGAAGACAAGTTCCGTTGATATTGCCGTTTGCTGTCTGTCTCTCATGGGCACAAATTTCATTAAATCACTCATTGAAGCCAGCAGAATACTCAAAAACAAGTCTGTAGTATACTCATTTGTTGTTACCTACTTTTGAGTTTGTGACTAAAATCTATCGATCAATCCAATTATTTTAGAATCGATATTATTTTAGGACTGTAATTTTGAAATGTGACGATGATGTTTTTATATTTTTGCTTCCAGTGGCACCTTTCTGATAGCAGAAGTAGTCAGCAGGTTTGACAGTGTTCAATCTTTCGTCAGGGCTATGGACAAAATGGGATTCCTACTGATCAAGAAGGTTTTTGAATTGTGTACTACTCTACGGTTTTACGCTAATCAACAATAACACTGATTCATAAAATTTGTTTGCTGTATTTTAGGACGAGAGCAACAAAATGTTTTTGTGGTTCGAGTTTAGAAAAGTTGGAAAAGTGCCGCCGGTCGGGAAGATGCCGAAGATAGAACTGGCCCCGTGCCTCTACAAGAGAAGATGAAGGAATAAAACCGACAAATTATTAATATGATGATAGTAATAGCAGTTTATTTTACATTGAAATGTTTGATTATCGCGTTTTCCTCGTTATACTACACAATGTAAAAGTTGTTTTTCAGTTATTGAAAAAATCGTGAAAATATTAAATGTGAAATGATCACATAAATAAATAAAATACAAAAAATTAAATGCATGGTCAGATAATGACAATGACTTAAACAGTTTATTGTAATGTATAAAACCAGAGATTTGAACCACGCAAGCTTTCATGCGTACATGCATGCACGCATTTGAAAATGTTAAACTTGAAACATCCAATATGTAAAAACATGAGGACATACAGAACCAATTACACATAAAAAACATCAAGTAGAGGTAACACATATACAGCAGAACATGCACACATCACGCCACACACACACACTCTTGTAGGCAGACACACACATACACATTTTAATGTGGCCCTGTCAAATTGTGATTGGATGATTTGGAACCAACACAGCTTGCCCAGGCTGGTCCACCACAGGCTGCAGATACGATTATGTACATCACCAGCTGTTAAATAGACAGATGAGTAAACGTTTACATTAGCATAAGTTATTGTAAATTATCAATAGCATATTATTTATTAAAAAACAGTCTGAATCTAAGTCATTTAGGCATAGATTTTCACGTTTAAAAACTAACCACGAGAGCCAGAATAACGATGATGATCCATTTTATATTCTTTATGCACATGTTTCGCCTAACTGATCTGCTCGACCTATGGAACGCCACTGCCTGTTTCAATGTAAAATTTAAATTCACCTTTAACGAATCATCATTTTTTAGAATTTAAATAGAAATGAGCATCATATTAATTAATCACATTTTAATATTAGCAATTGATAAATAATGTACATCTCAACAGCAATAGAAGCATCAGGGACAACTAACATTATTCGATAGCATTTCAGTTTTATCAATCAGCAGTTCCAATTTCTCTCCTCTGTTGGCAACCTCCTCTGGCGAGAAATTAATTTAAATTATAAATATTTCAATAAAATAAATAAATAATAAATTGATCAATTAATTGATTAATTAATTAATTGTTAACCTATATTGCGGACCAAAATTTTTTTGACGTCTTCTACCTGGTCTTGAAGAGCTGTTATCTTGGAAGGCTCTGCCACATTGTAGCGCTTCTGTAATTTGAAAAAAATTTCAATAATTATTTAATTAATTAAATTAAAAAAGGACGAAAGAATGAATGAATGGAAACAGACATGAATAATAAATTGGATGAATGCATGAGTGGAGGAACAAATGATTGGATAAAAACAAGAATTTATATTAAGAAAAAAGTTTATAAGCTTCTGTTATAAACATGAAAGGATTTAAAAAACTAAGTGCTATAAAAACTAAATACAGGTAAAAAAATTCCAAACCATTTCAGCATTAATGACTCGAGAAAATTCACTATTCATTGCATATGGTAGTGCCACATTGGCAAAAGCAGCATATCTCTGAAGGAACCTTTTAATTAAATGTAAAGTCAATAAAAAAATGTTTATTTATTCAATTATTCAATGAAAAATTTTCAAGTAAACCAAAAAAATTAATTGATTATTAATTTAAAATTATAAATTAACTTACTTTTTTTGAATTTCAGATAGATATTTGAATGCTATGACTTGATCAAATTCCTGGAAAAAAAAATTTGTTTATAAAAATTTAGTGTATTTTAAATATTCTATTTAAAATTTTAATGAATTAAAGAACTAATTAATAATATTTTTCATTACCTTATCAGCGATCACCAGGTATATTATTTTATTATCTCTCAATGAGTGAAACATGTAACTGTAAGTAGTGTTAATAAATTTAAGTTTATTAAGATTAGAAAATTATTACGTTTAATATTAAAAAAATTAGAAAAAAGTTTCAAATAGGACAAATAGGTCAAGAGATAAAGCTCAAGAAATCAAGAAGAATTGTATCAAGATTGAAAAATTAAATAAAATAAATAATATAAAAATAAATTAATAAAAAAATTAAATTTATTAATAAATAAACATTAAGTTAAGATTCATATTAAATTTTAAAAAGAGGTAAAACAAGAATGTAAAAAAACAAAACAACAGTTTTTAAATTAAAAAAAAGCACAATCTTACCTGGAATGCGAGAATGTTTGACGGTCCTCCGTCGAGTCGGCAATTTGCGGCAAGATGTGCTGAAGGATTTCGTAGAAGTTTCCGGCAGCCATTGCGTGCTCGGCCAAGATCGTTGTTCCTCGGGAGACCACCGAAAATAGCATGGGCATTTTGGAAAATATTTGAGATTAAACTTATTAAAATAATTCAACGAGCAAATTTATTAAATTAAACTAAGAATAGTTTGTTCAAGACTGAAAAGAAAAAATTTATTTATATAGGGAACATTTGTTTGCCTTTGTTATAAGCTTAATTCAAGATTCACGATGATTGTCCATGGTTTGTCACGTGAATTTAAAAATTAATTTCAATTAAATTAAAGTTGCGCAATACAAAGGTTAAAGTTTAATCCCCTGAATGTATAATTGATTTAAACTTATGTGCAGTTAAAATTAAATTATTATTTCTTTATTTTTTTATATTAATTATGATACATTAATTTTTTTAATAATGTTTTTTGAAAAAAGTTATTTTTTAAAGCATATTTTTACTGAAATTTGATATTTTGAAACATTTTCTTAAATAGCTTATTGCACTTTTAAACGGTGTCGAAATTGTTAAGGGTGAAACGTCTTCGTTAACTTAGAAACCATTTGACGCCTGGTTGCTTGCTAGTTGTGTTGTATCTTGTTTATTTTTTATTTAGTCCGGTTTGGAGCTGTCCGTTCTTTTTTGTCAGATTTTTTGCAACTTTTTTCGTTAATTAGTTATAATCAATGAGTGACCAAAGAAAAAAACGAACGTCTGTTGTCTCCGCTCGTCAACATTCCGCAAAAAGTGTATCTTCATCCAGTTCAACCATCAGTCACTGTGATGATTCCTCCACTGTAACTGGAGAGGAAAGAAGTAACAATTGCAAGGGAAAGTCTAAAAAGTCGCCGGCCAGTAGAGTTAGAGTCTTTGGACTTCTTGTAGTTTTTTGTTCATTGCTGCTAAGTTTCTTTACTGTTTCTGTTTTACTAACTCTTAATGTAACTATTAACTTCTATTAAAATTAAATTAACTTCTAAATTTGAAGACTTAGATGTTTATAAATATAATTTAATAATTAATATATATTAAAGTTACATTAAGTTAATTAAGCTCCTAAAAGGCAGTTTTTTTGATTGGTTAGGGAAGGCACAGTAATTCAGATAACATCAAGAAGATTGTGCAAGAAGAGGGAAGAATTGCTCGCAATTTGATAACATGGAGTGTTCCTTTACAGACAGGTTATAAAACATATTTTGCTTTTTAAACTTTGCTTATAGTTTTTTTTATAACAGATCACAGAATAAGATGTCTTTTAAATAACAAATTCTGTCAAACAGACATATTGTTAATTTCATTTGACAATCTTTAATGTTGCTATAATTTTAGAAAAAAACAAGTCCAATGCACCAAAGTCGCCCTTACCTTCATCTCCTGTTAGGAAGGTTGCAGCGGCAACAACATCTGCAATCAGCTCACAGACCATGAAGTCAGTTACCAGCACGTGTGCAGTGAGTGGCAGTGTTCAAGCACAGACAACAATGTCCTCATCATCTCACAGGGGGAGACCTCCACAGCAAAGACAAAACATCCAACTTAGGCATGCTCTTCAACAATCAAATAAACATCTGCAACAGCGTCATCAACAAAAACAACAACCTGCTAATAAAAAAGACATTCGTGCCAGGTATTGGGCATATTTATTTGAAAACTTGCATAGAGCTGTTGATGAGATCTACCAAACTTGTGAAACTGATGAAAGTGTTGTTGAGTGCAAGGTAATTATTTACATCATTTAAACAATTTGTTCTAAACACAAATTTGACGATTTTTTTTATTAACAAATTGCTTTTTAAGCTTGATTTCATTCATTTCTTGAAATTAACTTTATAAAGGAAGTCATAATGATGCTGGATCAGTACAAGAAAGATTTTGACTCCCTAATTGGAAGATTACATCTAATGCAAGACTATGAAAATGCCGATGAATCATCAAAACCAAAAAATTTGGCCTGGGAAGTTAGGAAGCGATCACCCAGTAAGTCGTTCCTTGGCTACCATCAAAGAGATGTTCTCATTCCATCAAGCAGGACTGCTCGTAGTTTAACGTTTGATAATTTAAACGTGCTGGCCAATGATAAAAACAGTGCCGGGTCTAAAAATATTCTCACAAAATATTCTCAAGGAAAGGAGAACATGCATTCCAGGACGTGGGCTGATAAGGTGAAGAGTTCTGCAGCTGTTGTGGTAACATCAACAGCAGCAGCAACAATATCATCGGTTTCATTACCATCTTCACTTTCGTTGGGTAATGTTTCAGCTGGCATGAGTTGCTCATCAGATGGTTTTGTGAGCAGTGGTAGCCTTCTTAATACAAGAATTGAAGAAAATGTTGTGCTGCAAATTGGTGATAACAACAACAGTCTTGCCAACGACAACTTTGACATTAACAGTAATAATAACGTTGAAAATGACAATACGAATGACTTCAATACTCACAATTCTACTGACAATGTTGGCAACTGTAATAATGTTAATAAAAGTTTCATCAGCACCATTAGCATTGATATATCCACTGAAATTAATACTGATATCACAATCGACAGCTGCAACAAAAATGTTAGCACGGAACGCAGCAGCAATAATTTTGAAAATATTGATCCATCGTCTAGCACACACTTACAACAACCAGTAGATGCCTCCATGTCGCTGCAGTCATGTGATCAGCAAGATGGGTGGGAGATGGTTTCTCATAGAAATTATCGGCAAAAACAAAAAGTCCCATCTTCACTTTCTCTTTCTGACGTCTGTTCTAGCAAAATCAGCCACAATTATCAGCTGAATCGACAGCATAAACCACAGTATCTACAAAGGCCGTTAGTGCTTGATGCATTGATAAGTAATAAGAACGTGGCTGTAGTTGATTCATTGAATGATAGTAGCAGCAATATTGATGCTCTGTCTTGCTTCAATAATGATAAAGTCGTTGTTTCATCCAGCCTGTCATCGCCTTATATTTCTAGTAGTTCCATATTTGACAAAGTTATGCATCAGTCTGGTTTACAGCTGCATCATCAACAGCAGCAGCAGCAGCAGAACTGCCATCCGCAACAATCTTACCTAGACCTAAAGGACAAAAGCTTAATTACTGAGACCTCAAATGTTTATAACATCAATAATTCTTTGTTAAAAGATGTAAACAATAACAATTACAACAACAATAGTCATAGCAGCACTAATATTGACAATAACATCAACAGCACTGACAGTAAGAATCTCAATAAGAATATTTGTAGCATCAACAATACTGCTTTTCAAAGCAAACCAAATGTTTTCCATCCTTCATACTCTCTAAAGGAATCTTCAAAAGTAAGCCTCAAGGATTGTTTGATGGTGAAATGTATTTATAGATTATGTAAGCCAAACAAACGTGTGCTAACTAAAAATTAACTAAACTAATTACTAAATTGTTTTAGATTGATGCCAGCTCCATTGCTAACGAGAATAGCAACAACAGTATTTGTGATAACAACCATACCAATGACTCAAAGGGCAACGATGTTCAATCACATCAACTTAGTAGTGAAGACATCAACTACGATGACGTTAACGATGCTGATCATGACATCAATGCTAATTTGTTAACTGCTGCAGCTCTGGACTCGAAATTATTCAATTCAATATATGGTTTGTAATTTCTTCTGTTAATTTCAAAAAAAAAAAATCTTTATCATGTACATTAAATTTACTTTTTTTTAGTGTTTTTTGATAAATATTCATGAGTTAACTTTCAACCAATTAGAGTCTGACATTCCTGCAAACTCCTCCCCTGAGCTGATGATTGACGAGACTTCACAGGGCGCTTCACCTTCATTGGATGTTTCTGATCCTAAGGATTCTGATGTTGATGAAATTAGCAAGGTTTCAATCATTTCATTTACACATTGATTGATTACACACGCGCGCACACTCACACACACACTCACACACACACATACACACACACTAGTTTATTACACACCACACACACTAGTTTATTACACACCACACACACACAGCCACCACACACACACACCACACACACACAACCAATCAACAATAACAAACAGGCTCTGATGAATGCATTAAAGGAGGAAGATAATTTGGAGACGTTAATGGAGAAAGAGAGAGAAGCAGCGTATGTGAGCGCCATGGAGCAGGAGAAAACTTACCTGATGGAAATCGCCAGAGAGGAAAAGGAAGAAGAAAACGATCACCATCGTCATTCTGACATCATCGATGGTGACGCCATCAGTTATAGTGGTGGTTGCTCTGAAGATTATGATGATGCTACTGAAATGTCAGCCGGTAGAAATGACGCTGATGAAGGCTTGCATGTGGTTTCTCAAAGAGAGGATAATGATGTCAGTTAAATAGTTGTTTGTTTGTTTGTTTTCGTTTTGTTTGTCAATTTGTTAGTTTGTTTGCTGTTTTTTTAAACATTTTGTTTGTCAAGCAGTCTGTTCACCTTCCTTCGGCTAATCTATAAACTGCTTTAGTTATTAACTAATTATTAAACATCCAGTTATTTCTTCTTTCCATTTGTTTCTTAAAATCGTTAATTTCTTCATTCATTTGTTTACTCATTTACTCGACCATTCATTCTTTTATTCATTTTTTCACTCATTCATTCACTAACTCACGAATTCAATCAACTAGGATCAAAAGGCATGGGATTGGGAGTACATTTTGAGCCAATATGAAAGTTAGTGTATGGTTATGGCGACGACGACGATGATGATGTATATGATGATGATGATGATGATGATGATGATTGTGGTGATGAAGTTGTATATGATGGTGATGAAGATGATGATGATGGTGGTGGTGGTGATGATGGTATTGTTGTTATAATGATAATTATTAATTCAATATTGATAACATTTATTATTGTGATAGCATTAATGAATGTGTTACTGAGATTAACAATGATGACGACGACGACGATGATGAAGACAATACTGTTAACCGCCTCATTCATTCATTCATTCATTCATTCATTTTCTTATATTTAATTTTTTCAAACCATCGAGCAGAGGAAAGAAGCAGCAGGCAGCCGAACCAGTTGTGGGGTGATATAATGGAAGAAGCAGAAGCTAGAACGCCCGGAAGATTGGTGCACGTCTACGAAAAGCTCTCCTCACCATCAAGAAAAAGGTTAGAAATTGAGAGAAAGAGAGAGAGGTGATTGGCTGTTTGGTTGTTTTTTTGAGGTTGCCGATTGGTTATGACTGTTGTTTGTTCGTGATTGGATGGCTGTTGATGTTACTGGTTTTTGATTGGTTGGCTAGCTGGCCATTTCTAATTATTATAGGTTGGCTAAGTTACATTCATTTATTGCTTAGCGCATGAATTTATGTTTAAATTAGGACTTTAAATTTTATTGAACAGATCGGTAATAGAATCGAAACAGCAGCTGGATGAGAAGCAGGCGAAAGCAGCTGAGTTGAGGGAGAAATCACTGCAGGAGAGAGGCGAAAATTTAAGGGTCCTAAGAAAGAAGGTGCGTCATTCAATTGTTTACTGTGTGTATTGGGCTGCTGTAAGTGAGTTGCACATTTGTTGTTTTGCACTTGTTATGCCTGCTATAAATATGTGTTTTATGCGTTTTTGTTCCTGTGTTACTTGTTCAGGCGTGATGATTCTATCCTACTTTGCATCTTGATCGATTGGTTGATTGATTGATTGATTGATTGATTGATTGATTGATTGATTGATTGATTGATTGATTGATTGATTGATTGATTGATTGATTGATTGATTGATCATACTTGAACATGGCATGCCCAGGTTGAAGAGATTCAGGCATGGAAGACAGAGTTGTTGAACCAGGCACGACAGGCTATGGAGGATAAGTTGAGGAGAGCTGAAGAGAAGAGGCAGATAATGCTGCAAATAAAAGTGAAGAAGGCCCATGAAGAAGATGCTAAGGTTAGTCTCATGCTATAGTTCAATTTTTGTTAGTTTGAGGTCATGTTTAAAACATTATTACTGTATACAGGCTAGTGAAATAGCATTCATAAACACATTGGAAGCGGAGAATAAGAAACTGCAGATATCATCAAAGCATGAGGTGTCCAAGGCTAGACTGCAAGATATGCAGGTATTGCAAGATATTTCTATACAATCTATTTATTTTTACTGTCTGTCTGTGTGTTGTGCCTGGCCAATGTCTGTCCGTCAATCTTTTTGATTTCTGTATATCTTTCCTCTGTGTACTGATTATGATAATATTAACAATAATATTAATGATGATGATGGAAATATTCGCCAGGAAGTAAGGCAGAGAAGACACGAGGAGAAAGCAGCTAAAGAGGCGGCTGCAGAGGTTGTATGTATATTTGAACGTTGATGATGTTGATGTCGATGAAACTGACTTCAACCAGACAGCAACGCATGTATCACACACACACACACACACGCACGCACGCAACGACAAACGACGACACGAACGACAGGAGCGCAGACGAGCTCTGGAGAATGAGAGGATAACACGTCTGCAGAAGGAGATGCAGGACAAGCATCAGCAACACCAACAGAGACAACAGGAAAAGGAAAAGGGGCGACTCGAGGCAGCCAGGTTGAGGGATAAGGAGAGGGAAGAGAGGCTGGCCATGCTGAACAAGCAGCAGCAGACGCACATCGAGGAACTGCAGAAGAAGATACAACAAAAGGTTTTTGCTCTCGTTCAATTTTACGTCGATGACATGATGCTGGATACGCGTATGCTGATTATATACGTAATGATGATGACCGTGATGAGTATGGTGATAATTAGAAGCGGTGGCAGCCCAATGCATCCATTCACAATGAGGTCGCAATCAGTTATCACAAAACAATAGCAGCACAGAAACGCATCAAGACAACTTCATCATATTTCAATTTCTACCAGCAAGATGAAACGGATCGCAGGCACAAAGAAAAGTTGGAGGCCATACAGGAAAAGGCGTTCAGGATGAGTTTACAACATCATTCTTCCGATGAAAATAACGATGCCCCGCCCATTCACGTTCCTTATAAGAAGAAAAAATTCTGCTCTGTCTGCAATGTTATGGTTCGTTTGTATGTGCCATTGATTGTACGTTGATTGTACAGTCTTATGTGTGCAATTTTATGTTTGTCTGTCTGTTTACTTTGTATAATTTTTTAGCTCTGTATATGTTTGTATGTTATTTCTGTAATTATTATTGCATATTTTTCAAGATACCATCCGAGGTTTATTTGCTGAGCCATCTTCGCGGTAAGACGCATCAACAAGCCATTGCTGACAGCAATCAAGGCAGCCTACCTTCCCCTCAAGACGTCGTTAGTAGTAGTAGTAGTAGTCGTAGTAGTTAAGTTATGATGATGATGGTAATGATTAAGAAGGTGATGACTAATGATGATGATATTGTAATGTTAGAAATAATCACGACATTTCTAGCATTTTCATCATCGTCTTTGTTGAAATTTAAAAAATTATTATTCTCTTGTTTTATACAGTTTTAATTGAAATGTTTGAACGTACATTAGTTAGATCATTTAATTAATTAATTAGTTTATAATTTAAACATTTTTTACGTTGATCCACCCAGGAAAAGTTCAACCTCCAGTACATAATGGATGCCCCGATTGACAAGGAAGATAGTGAGGTTGCTAGTGAGAGAGAGAGGCAGAAGGTCTTTAAGAAGAAGTGCAAGAAGTTGAGATTGAGGATGGTTCAGAGGTTGGTTGGTTGGTTGGTGGGTGGGTGGGTTGATTGATTGGTTGGTTGGTTGGTGGGTTGATTGTTTTGTGGGTTGATTGGTAGGTTGGCAGTGTTATTGATTTATCAACTAAATAGTTGATTGGTTGACTGATTGATTTGTTGATTGATTAATTGACAGATTGGCTAAACTTTTTTATTTTCCATAATTTGATTGTTATCTAATAAAAAAAATTTACATTTAAAACCCAATAAACACAGAGGGAATGAATACGAAACCTCTCTGGCCAACAGGACTCCAAACCTGACATCACAGCATAAGAATAAGTTCGTTAATTAGTTAATTTTAATTAATTAATTAATCTTAATTAAATTAAATTTCGTTTTGTGTTTTTTTCTCGAATTATTTAGAGTTACGTCTGAGTGGTTTATTGTTTGAAGTAAATTTTCGAAATTGTCTGGTGATTTTTATTTCTATCAAACCAGAATCCAGAAACTAATCAAAGACCTCCAAAAACTAGTAACATCGTCGTCGTCATCGATGACGTCATCAGCAGGGCAGTGGCCCCAGAATAAAGTTTTGACTTTAGATAGATATTTAGGAGAGCTTTCTAGAATGTTTGGGAAGGGGGTGCGTTTGTTTATTTCATAATAATTGTGATTAAAATCAAAATGTATCTAGAGATGAAAGTGAATTATTTGATCTGTTGAGAAATTTGCTGTTTGACTTTAATTAGGTGTAAATTTTTTTGAAAATTTTCTTTTAAATGGTTTAATTTTATAATAAGAAATTTGTCAATTAATTAATTATTCAATTTATTGATTAATTAATTAATTAATTTATTAGTTAATTGATAATGTACAGAGTGTGCTAGAGAAGCAGGCATTCAGATGGCAAGGTGGTTTCGTTGTATTGCTGCAGTTATTTAACGCCATCATGCAGCCCACAAATGACCTCAACTCCGTCGTACCTATTAAGTTAACATTTATTTGCCGTTCGGTTGTTTGGATGTTGTTGGTCAATCAGTCAATCGTTCAATCAGTTATTCAACTATTTGATCAACCATCCACTAAATCAATCAATCAACCAACCATTCAAACAATCTTTAAATGATTCAACAGTCATCCAGTCAATCTATCTATCAATCAACCAACCAGCCACTAAATCAATCAATCAATCAACCATTCAATCAATCTTCAAATGATTCAACAATCATTCAGTCAATCTACCAACCAACCAATCAACCACTAAATCAACCAACCATTCAATCAATCTTCAAATGATTCAACAGCCAATCTATCAATCAGTCAACCATTCATCCGGCCAATATCTACCAATATCTATCAGTCAGTCAACCATTCATCCGGCCACTATCAATCAATAAATTCTATCACATTGCTACCACCCATATCTCATTCAGATCCATAACCTTATCATGTTCCTTGTTGAAGTCCATGTGCTGTGGCAGTGTGGAGATGTGTGTGCACCTACTCCTGTCAAATAGGCTCTGCACTCTTGTCGATCTGGTCTCTAGCCATCTTAATGTTAGTTTTTTTTTCTTTTTTAAAAGTTAAGTTTTGTTATAATTATATTATGTTATATTATATTAATTATATTATTATTACAATAATATTTTTTTAATAGTAATACAATAGTAAGATTAATATTTTGTTGATGCGTCTTTGCATGGCTGAGAATTCGGTGATGTTATTAAGTTATTGATTAAACGATCGTCAAATAATTAATTTTTATAATAAGTTAATAAATGAATTAATTAATTAGATTTTTTTGTTTTATTAAAAATTAATTACACTAGATCTTGATCCCAGATAACTACTCAACGACATTGCAATCATCTGTTGCTTCGACATCATCTCAACAACCACAACAGCAACAACAACAGCAGCAAAACAAACAAAACAAACAGCAGCAGCAGCAGCTGCTGCAACAGCAACAACAGCTTACGACAACTAGCATTTTAGTCGAGTTATTGGCCTATTTACTTCTACCTATCTCTGAAGACCCAAAGTTTCAACCATCTTCTTCATCGCCATCTTTGTCGTCATCGTCGACGACAAAGCCACCAACAACATCATCATCATCAACAGCAACGACGTCAACAACAACATCATTGTTGGGTGGAGGTGATGGAAAAAAGGATGAAGCCAGTGTGGTTGCTTCACAGGTTTCTGATGTTGTTAGGTAGTCAGCGCTTTTTTAATGTTTTATTTTATTCGTTCTTTCGTTCAGTCACTCATTCATTCCTTTGTTCATTCGTTTATTCTTCTTATTCATCCATTCATTATTTATTTGTAAACACACACACACACACAAATTGATACTCACAACCAGTTACGTGATCAGCACTGGCATACTGGACAAGATATCAACATACTTCAGCAACATGAGAAGCTCCGTTGACAATGAGCCCGAGGCCGCCCTCTTCCTCCAACGTTCTTTGCTGCTCGTCATCTCTCTCATAGGACTGTCTTCGCCAAAGTTGGCTGTTGTTTTTGCTGCTAGTGGTAGTGCTGTCTTTGCTGCTTTTGATATTGTTGTTTGTTTGTTTGTTTGTTTGTTTGTTTTATGTTTGTTGTGTTTTATAGCTTTCGATGGTTTGCTGTGATGATAATTTGTTGTTTTCCCACATTCGTCGTGATGTTAGTTGTTTTTTGTTGCTGCAGTTCTTATTGTCATCACTGCCAGTTGTTTTCCCCACTACTGCTATTATTACTGTCCTAATCTCGTGACATCAAATCAAACAGGGAGCCAGCATTCATAACTGACCACCACCGCACCAAAGGCCCAACAGCATCAACAACAACCACAGCGACATCGGCCGCGACGACGACGACGTCGGTGACCTCTGCAGATGACCCGACCCAAATTATAACAACGTTGAAGGTGACCCACTTGGCAGGCATTGTATCTCTCATGTATGGTATGCTACTGCATGCCGATGCTCCAGGTATGCTTGCTTCTCCTTAATTATTTTTTCTCTGACCTGGTTATGGTCATTACGATGATGACTGATTGAGAGGATGGTGGCGATGATGAAAACAATGATGATAAATGAAATGACGATGGTGATGAACGATATGGCGATATGAAGATAATAACTGTTGAGATAATATAACGATAACTCGACGATGATGATAAAGATGATGTTTATGATCAGTTAGGGGATCAACAGCTCCGCCACCCCTCTCGAGGCATACAACTGACGTGGTGATGATGTCATTTGTCATGCTCAACAAACTTGCTCTCATGAATCTCAACATGCTTCAGGTTATGCTCCTCTGTCTTGTTGCCATTTTGTTTTTCTACCCAGAACCATCCTATTATATTTTAATTAGTTAGTTAATTGATTAATTAATTATAATCTCATTAATATTAATTGATATTATAATTCGTGATATTTATTTGCCACAGTCCTGTCTAGGAGAGGAAGGCATATCTCTTGAGTTTCGCCACATAGCAAGCTACTTGCTGTGGTACTGCACGCACAGCAAGGATGAGGCCCTGCTGCATGAAGTCATCCTCTGCATCGGCTATTTCACTCTCAATCATGCTGACAATCAGGTTGGAGAGAAGGAAGCTTATCTCTGTGTTTGTTCAGTTGTGCTGTGGTTTCTGTTGTTGCATTTTAAAAGGAGTTGATTGGAGCTGATTGATGAGGTTTAAAATCCGATGTTTTTTAAAAAAAATTTTCATTCTAGTCGATAATTCAAAGTGGTCAGCCGCCAACGATCTTGCAGCAGCTTTGCTTGCTTCCATTTCAATACTTCAGTGATCCACGACTGACTGGCGTCCTCTTTCCAACCCTCATTTGCTGCTGCTACAACAACCAACGAAATAAGCAGATCCTCGAGCAAGAGTTGAGTTGTCTGTTGCTGTCCAACTTCTTAGAGGAACACGATCTCAGGGACCAGCAGCAGCAGCAGAAGCAAAACACTGCTGCTACTACGAAAGAACAAGTTATCACATCGCTGGTAGCTGTTGACAAGTTGAAAAAGAATTGTGGTCGGTTCAGTATTAACAATTTTTCTGTTAGATTTTATATATTTACATTGTAATTATATTATTTTTACATATTTAATAACCAAAGTAATTTTTTTTTAATTTTTTGATTTCTAGGACTATCAGTGGACAAGAGAATGTCCTTGCCCTTCAGGTTTCCTCAGCACATGTGGTATGAGGCACAGCTCTATTTCGCTTCTGTATGAATAACTGACCGACTAATAATTATCGTAATAATAATTTATAGCATTTTATCATTATTTTTTTATAGTTATAATAATAATTATTATTATCATTATAGCTATAGCATAATTTTATTTTTATTATGTTTGGAACAGGGCTAATGATAATTTATATAATTTGTCTCGGAATTGTAACCTGTTGTTAATGTTATACAATTACTTACCTGTAACATATGCCTGACATTGTTAATAAACATTAGTTGTAGTAGTACTTATTATACATACATGCACATACAAATACATACATACATACATGCATATACACATACATACATACATGCATATACACATACATACGTACATGCATATACACAACATACATACATGCATGCATTAGCGGTAGTAATTAATTATATTTACAGCTATTAATTATTGCCGCTAAAACTGTGATCGATGGTAACTTAGCGTTTTGGTAAATTAATGAAGATACGAGTTAACATTTTAATTATTTTTTAGTCGGTTAAAAATTGAATCGTGATGTGATTTTCAAATAAACATAGGCGTATTAATCCCGGTTCGAGATTCGTCATGTCGGATCAATAGTGTAGGGAATGTTGAAAGCAGCTCTTGTTGTTTCGTCTGCTATCAAGTTACTCGCCTTTCATACCTCTGTGTAATGTAATATTAATGAATGACCATTATTACCATAATTAACCATTCATGTCGTCGGTTGTGTATAGTACTATATAATGCTGTCTGAAGCATTCTTCATTTGAAAGTTTTTGGAGTTAGCGCATGTCAAAATTATTTTATCGATTTTGAGAGCTCTCTCGTTCGTACAGAACCTTGAGACATCACCCATGCTTAAGTTGATACAACAATGCAAATTTTTGCATCGTTGAGATAGATATTATAACGGTCTACATCCACGTAGACACGGTGATATAGACTACTCACAAAGATAGATTTCATTTGATAAAAGTTTAAATGATGCTCCATAAAATAAGATTGCCTAATTAACTAATGTAAATGTTATGCTGTGTTAACTTTCTTGTTTTTGACAGATTACAATCGAATGGGATGTGTATGTATGCCTTATAATCTTATTCCATGAAGTTATACTCGTATATATATTATATACATATATATATAATAGTACTAAAAGTAATAATAAGAATGATGATTGTATTAAGGTATTTTGTATGTGTATGTGCTGTACACATGTGCGTACGTACAATCGTACATACACAGCACATGCTAATAGGTATTTTTTGGCATTAGTATTTCCTCAATCGCTTTATAGTGATAAATAATTGTTCTAGTTAGTTATGTGATGTTATTTGATGTGATCTGATGTGGTGATGTTAGCATGTCGTTATAGATAGATAGGTGGAAGAAATAAATGGCATATGGATCTATTCATAATAATATTGCCCATTTGTAGCTTTTGAATTAACACGATGACGACAAAAACTGCAACGTATTCCATCCACCAAGCAGCAGTCCCAAAGTTATTTAATACACGCATTCTAATCTGCTATTTTGCTGTAAATTGCAATGTGAGTTATCTATTGTATGCCTACGCACATAAACAAACGTATATGTGAATAAATGAATATATTTATATATGTGTTTGTGTGTGTCTCCCTCTTCTCTCTCTCTCTCTCTCTCTCTCTCTCTCTCTCTCTCTCTCTCTCTCTCTCTCTCTCTCTCTGTGTGTGTGTGTGTGTTTGTTGTATGTTGAAATTACTGATTTGTTCATCATCACCATACTTTTTCATCAAGTCACCAACCAAGCCCACTCACGTCGAAAGAATATTTGAACGCAGTAAAAATACAAATTTCGAAATTTAAAACTTTTCCATTCATATGAACGCGAACACACATAAGTGCACGCATACGTGTACACAGTCACACACATATACATACGCACGCAATGTTTATGATGACCAATTTTTATGAATCAGATAGCGAAAGTTCAACGTCCTACCTACATTTTATGTGTGTCAGTATAGCATATATTCCGCCATGCGCGCTAACCAATCATAATACAGCTACCTCTTCAAATATTTATCAATGTACGTACGTACCAAAACAAACACGTGCACACATACACACATAGATACATACACACGCAACGCACACATGTAATACATACACACACATACACACACTTAACGAATGCGGCACACATACCCAAACCTTTGGATGGAGTTCAATTTTCTGTATAATTATTTAAACGCAAATACACACACGCATTTGTATATTTGGTATCAAAACAGACACACATGTATATACACAAACTAACACATACACACACAAATCTTTTGGACACATATTCTATAAAAACTAGAAGTATAGACAGCTATAGACAGACAAATTCGCATCAAATGACTTGATTTGTTACGTGTTGTTTTTAGAGATATACCATATATATATTTAAAATAAAATTATTGCAAATATAATTAATAAAAGCACGTTTTAGTACTACTAAACAAACAGTAATTATAGATATTCATATTATTTTTTAAAAAAAGCTGGTGAACGAACTGGCGAGAGTTTTGTTTTTATAAAAAGGTTCGTACCAAATATAAGCAAGCAATACAAGCAGCATCCAACACATCCTCTCTCTTTCTCTCAGTCTCTCTCTCTCTCTCTCTCTCTCTCTCTCTCTCTCTCTTTCTCTCTCTGAGATAATCCGGCCCGGAATTGCTTCAAGTGCAGGTTTCGATCGGCTAAAATTCGGGATTACATCACGATCAGGGCCGAAGTATTCAATAAATAATTTTTATTCTGATGCTTCTCTGATGATCTTACGAACAACAATGATGATGATGATGAAAGCTATGAGAGCTAAGGGAGTGCTTCTAAAGTCAATTAACTTATCGATACGATACGATACGATGAGATGACAAAAAAAGATGTGATAAAGATAGAAGACGACGTCGATGATGGTGGAATCATAATTAATTATATAATTGCATACCTTATTAAGTCTAATAAATGAGTAAAAGACAGATGACAAAGCGAAAAATTCGCATTTAGTCTGACAGATAGAACTCGTAACATTAAAATTATAGAGAAATTTTTAGAGAATATATGTATCGTGTTTTATATATATATATATATATATATATATATATATATGTGTGTGTGTGTGTGTGTGTGTGTGTGTGTGTGTGTGTGTGTGTATGTATATTATACAAAAATACGCATATAGGGAGCTTCAGGGACTGAGTATGATTAAACCAGCATCCTTTTGTATACTTTCTAGGAACCAAATTTGATGAATACGCCTACAAATATAAGTAGCAATTATTTATCTCCGGTATAATTAAATCTATTGTAATAATAATTGTTGTATTATTAATGAAAGTGTGATGTGTTTGAATGACAAAAGGATATAAATACATCGCAACAAGTTAAAGACGGAATACAAATCAAAATTTAAATTTTATAGTGGTACCCTCAATTTGACGAATTATTCTACTAAAACGGTAAGTTTTAGATCTTAAAGCTTCAATATTTGTTAACATTTAATAAATATTCAATAGATATTTTACAAATTTAAATCAAAAATTAAAGGGGAATACAATTAATATGAAAAATTGTTGTCGGGGTGTCAAAAGGTCCGCATCCATCACATCATCCTTGTTTACAATACGAATCTAAATTCGTAATCTCCATTCATTCAGACCTTTTAAAAAAAGGTTTCGGACTGAACATTATTTTCATTTCTTTCCGGATTTGCCGGATTTCTTCATGTTAAAACGTCGTAAGTGACCACATATTTTCTGTAAAATACGAATTTTTTTTATAAACACGAAAAATCTGTTGTTATACTAAATTTATATTTATATAATAAAAAATAAATAATACCCACAATCCATACTTTTCTCCGTTTTTGGTCCCTCGTTTTGCGTACCTTACGTTGCATCGTTCATTTTGTTAATTAAAAAAATCAATACTCATTTTTCACAATGTTCGTCATGGTATATTTCATGAATTGCGTAGCGTAGAAGATTAGTATATATATATATTATATATGTATTATATATGACAGGTAGATATAATATACTATACTATATATATATGCCGTATAGTATACTATACGGTGTATATATATAGAAAAGCATGTATAAATTATGACAATACATTGCAGATATAATAATGACTGACTTGGCATGAATTGTAAAAAATAAAGCTTTTGATTGTTATTTCATTATGATATAATAGCTGTACATATTTTGACTTTTTTTTAACATTTATGTGTGACATTTTTTTAAACAAAAAAATCCTAAAAAATAATTGAAAAAATTAAGCAGACTGAAGAAGAGGAAGAAATTGAACAGAAGGAGATGGATGTTCATTTAATGAAGGACTGCCCACATCAACAACAACAACAACAGCTGCAGCGAACGATGTCATCAGTAGATCCAATCAACATTACGACATCGAATGGAGTCTTCAGCAGATCAAACCATGCCACGGAAGATTATGAAATATCACTCGTCATCGCACAGTCAGTGGTCAACGACATATGCAAGAAAAAAATCTTCAATCTCCATCCCACGAATAATTTAATCCAACTCTGTGAGACCGCGAAACGACTCGTCAAAGAAATTCTCTTGCAGCATAGTCCAGTATTTTTGGGCATGGCCAAACGACTAGAGATAAAAAAACAATCACCGAAAGAAATTAATCTAACGCTCGATCGAGTTCTAAAAGAAATGTTCTCCGACGGCCACACAAATTGGGGTAGGATTGCTACCCTTTTTGCTTTCGGAGCGGCTCTCTGTAAATATTCCCTTGAAAATAACAAGCAGGAGCTTATAGAACCAATCACAGACTCCATCGCACTCTACATTTCTACAAATAAATCCAACTGGATAAGGCAACAAAATGGCTGGGTTGGTTTTTTTTTATTTACTAATAAGAAGTGAACCTCCTGTGAGTTTATTATCTTTACAGATAATATTTCATGAACATTTCATGGAGATTTAGGCTTAGAATTGTCTGCATAGTCAAACCAAATGCTTTTCTATAAAGTAAAAAAATTAAGATAGGAAAATTTGTGGAATTTATAAAACCAAACAATTTAAAATTGTAATAAAATTAAAAATAATACAAAAATATTTCTAATAATTTTGTTTTGTTGATAATCACATTAATTTTTTCAACAGTATGCTTTTATTTAATGTAGGCATTTTTTTTTCCATGTAAGAAAAGCTTTTTTCATTTCAAAAAACGTCAGAGTAATTTTTCATTCTATAAAATTCAATTAAAATAACCCATGTATTAAAATCCAGGAGCTCTAGAGACTGATTGATTGGCTGATAGTTAAAAATTACTGATACTTTTTTTACTTAAGAAGTGGTCTTAAGTTTAATTTAGATTCTTGAGAAATCTACTTATATTTTCAAAATTCTGATGTCAACTCTTCAATATTGATATTATAATTATTAAAATTTAATATGAAAACTTCTCTTTCTCTCTCTTCTTTCTATTTTCTATCTTTCTTCTCTCCTTCTAAAACACACATGTTTGTACCATGTGTGTGTGTGTGTGTGTGTATATGTTTTGTGTATGCTTTACATTTTCATGACTTTCTATGCCTATCTTTCTAGGTAGTGTTAAAGTTATCATGCCTGAATGCTGTTGATTTGTTTGTTTGTTTATTTGTTTGTATGTATATATGTATGTATGTATGTGTGTGTATGTATGTATGTATGTTTGTTTTTATGTAGGTATATACTTGTAAGTATGTATGTAGGTATGTATGTACGTTTGTATGTATGTATGTTTGTATGTATGTTTGTATATCTGTATCTAGACAGCTTGTTTATTGTATTGCATTGTATTGATAATCAATACTCAGCGGTTGATTATCAATATAAATAGTAATAATAATAATAATAATATTATTATTAAAAATAATAACTTTAATAATTTTTCATTACGAAGATTTTTGTATATGTGTATGTGAAGATTTGTCGTTTGGCACAACTGAGCTTTGAGTTTAACTCAGCCAAGGTGTTATGAGTGGCCAAGTTATAGCAATATGTGTTTTTTATTCACACACACGTGCACGCACACACACGCACGCACGCACACTCTCTTTTTTTTCACTCTCTCTCTCTCTCTGTCTCTCTATCTCTGGGCTGGCTAAACAATCCACTTTTGTCAAGCCCATATGATATATACACAATGCCTTGCCTGTTGAAAGCTGATTATTGTTATCTATTATTATTATTATAATTATTATTATGTTTATTATTATGTTTATTATTATTATTTTATTTGTATCATTATGACATTTTATTAATTTTTTTATTTACCTTAGTTGTGTAGTAGCAGTAGTAGTTGTAGTAGCAGTAATAATAGTAGTAGTAGTAGTAGTAGTAGTAGTAGTGGTAGTAGTTGATTATGTAGTGGTAGTAGTAGTAGTAATAGTATTGTTGGTAGTAGTAGTAGTAGTAGTAGTGTTGGTAGTAGTAGTAGTAGTAGTAGTGTTGTAGTACTGAGATATGGTAGTATGGAAAATTGTGTGATGGTGGTGACATGATGGAGACTGATGATCATAATGTTTGAAATTTAATTAGTGCGTTCAACACATTGATCTAAAGATGTTCGTTCGTTCGTTCGTTCGTTCGTTCGTTTGTTTGTTTGTTTGTTTGTTTGTGTGTTTATATGTGTGTTTATATGTTTGTATTCTTATACCTATTGTATTTTTTGTGTATGTTCTTATTTGTAGATAAAGTTTAATTGTTTATTTCACCTGCACATGATGAAATGTCTGATAAGATTCTGGATTATCTTTCAGTATTCTAATCATCATTTTCATATTTATATTTGTCATCCATAACTTTAATGTTCTGTGGTGTTTGTATGTGTGTATATGCAAGTATGTAATTTGTTTGTATATATATATATATATATATATATATATATATATATATATATATTTGTGTGTGTGTGTGTGTGTGCGCTTATGTATGTGTGTGTGTATCATCTATATCATTTGTATGCTGATGTTAAATACAATTATTAATAATTGTATCTTGGGCCAGTATGTTTGTATGTATGTAGATATGTTTGTATGTGTGAATTCTGTGTGTGTGTGTTTGTATCTCTTCACTCTATTAATTGTATATACTGGG